AGGTATAGTTGGAAGAACCGGTAAGTAGGAAAAGAAAATTGAAGAGGAATGAATGTATATAGTTTATGTATAAAGCTTTGAGATTTAATGATTTTATTTATTTTAGGATGCGGAAAATCTACATTGGCAACTTCATTCTTTAGACTTATTGAACCAAAATCAGGGCAAATTATTGTTGATGGAATAGATATAACTAAAATAGGATTAAAAGATCTTAGAAGTAGGATAACTATAATACCACAAGAACCAGTATTATTTAATGGCACGATAAGGTATGATATAGTATTTACATGTACTGTAGTCAATCTCTGCTTTCAACCCTTGACTTAATTTGTTTTTCACAATGACATTAGAAGTAACTTAGACCCCTTCGGCAAATATAAAGACATAACGCTATGGAATGCCCTTCGTCGAGCTCACCTAACAAATGGTGATACCGAAGATGAATACAATGACTACTCTATTAACAACGAGAAATCAAGATTTTCACACCAGTTATCAATTGCTGAAATACCAATATCAAAAAAACAAGAGTTACATTTAGATAGTCCAGTTAGAGAGCAAGGAAGTAATTTTTCACAAGGACAGCAACAATTAATAGCTTTGGCTAGAGCGTTGGTTCGACATTCGAAATTAATAATAATGGATGAAGCCACAGCAAGTGTAGACTATAAAACTGATTATTTAATTCAAAATACTATCAGAGAAGAGTTTGGGAATAGTACTGTCATTACTATTGCGCATAGGTTGAGAACCGTGATTGATTATGACAAAGTTTTAGTTATGGGTAAAGTTTGTTTTTAATTTTCAATTTATAATAATGATTTCTTGCTTTTGGATTGACATGTTTATTCTTTTTTAAAAAGACGCAGGCAAGGTTGTAGAATTTGATTCACCATACATATTACTGCAAAGCCCAGGATCAACATTTAGAGCGATGTGTGAATCGAGTGGTGAGTTTAATGAATTAATTGAACTTGCTAAGCAGAAATATGAAAGTGATAATTTAGGTTAAATTAGCTTCTTAAAAATGACGGACAATGCTAATATAAATTGTGGAAAGGGATTATTTTGAGTTTTTGTTTTTTATATTGAATATAGCGAATGGAGAAACATTATGATAAAATGCTGTAATTTTTTTTTTTCTAAGCTACCGTTGCAAAATGGAATTATCATTTATTTGTTCGAGATTTATATAATTCATTAATAAAGCCATAAATTTATTATTTTTCTTACATGCTCAACTTTCTTGTTTAATTAGTGTATATACTGTGCAGTACTATTTCTTATAAAAAAAAAAGATGATCTTATTAGTTTTTTTTACTTGATACGCTTAGAATAATCAGGTTATATCAAGGATCATGCGGTCGCGACATTTTCTGCCATAGTTTTCATTTTTTATTATATACTATATATTATTATAAAATTATACTATACACTGTATTTTCTTAAAACTTGCTATTGATCACAATTTTAACCAATATCGATTTCATTTAAATAGATTTAAGGACAAAAGCTAGTTAAAAAAAAAAAAAAAAAAGGACTATATGTTAGTATGAAAAATAAAGAAAGCAATAAATACTAATGCCTAACGAAAAATCATTGTATATTATCTATCAAGATAATATATTTAGATGTAAAAAATAATTATTAGGGTTTGATTTTCTTTTCCTACTTACCGGTTCTTCCAACTATACCC